ATATGGTCGACTTATTTTTCTGAAATCCATATTGATTTTCCATTAAAATCTTAAATTTAATAATAAACGATACCAATATGTTATACATTATTTCTTCTAAATTTTTTTGAAAATATAGGTATATCAGATATAGGTCTGTAATTACTAATTTCTTTGCTATTACCCTTTTTATAAAGAGGCCTAATTTTTGCAATTTTCAATAAATCTGGATATACACCCCCATTTATGGATTCACTAAATATAAAATTAAGTGGCTTCTTATGCTTGTGATACACGCGCTTTTACTAGAAAATCAGGGATTTCATCAAATCCTGCAGAAGCTTTGCCTTTTAATTTGGATACTACTGAAACAATTTCTTCTTCAGAAATCGGAAAAAAATACACAAGTGCTTGGACTGCAGACAACTACTCATTGCAAAGATCTACCACTACCTTTACTATTTTTCTCCACTAGTTCTTCTACCTTATCAATAAAACAAGAATTTAATGTTTCCGCCACCTCCTGAGGGTGAGTTATTTTCTTCGAATTATTTTGTAATCAAATATCCTTATATGATTTACCTGAATTTCCCATCCGTTAAGTTATTTAACTGCCACATCATTTCNTTTACTACTTTTCTCCACTAGTTCTTCTACCTTATCAATAAAACAAAAATTTAATGTTTCTGTCACCTCCTGAGGGTGAGTTATTTTCTTCAAATTATTTTGTAACCAAATATCCTTATATGATTTCCCTGAATTTCCCATCCTTTAATTATTTAACTGCCACATCATTTCACTTGGGTTTGATGCACATACGATTTGTCATTATGTCCTTTTTTAGCTTCAGAGATATCTCGTTCATAAATTCTGTGTAATCTGTTAATATAACTCAGTGCATCCCTTGGCACTGACATCCTATGCTTTAGATTATTTAAAAAAACATCTTTTTCTGACATGAAACTTTTATTCCTCTAGATATACATGAATTATTCTTAATCTCTCTCTTCGTTGTTAGTTTCAATGGAAACTCTCTACTAAAATAATATAAAAACTTATTTATTAATAGCTGATATAGTTCTTTTACATTCTTTCCAAATAAATTTCCTCCCATAATTCATTATTTAACATGACTGTGAACTTAACTATGTCCCCTCATAGACAAGAGTCAGTTTTTGTCAGGCTTATATCCAGAAACAAAACCAGAACTGTGTTACAGATTAGACAGGGCATGGCAAATCAGAAATTTCTGTACAATAAACAGAAGTTAAAATCTACTTTCCAAGCTGCAGTGGTCATTTCTGTGTGAATGGGGACTGCATTACTTTGGCTCAGGATAAGGACCAGTGGCAGGCTCTTGTGACCGTGGTAATGAATCTTCAGCCGTAATAAAATGCTGTGAATTAACTGAGTAGCTGATAAGACTCTTAGCTTCTCAAGATGAATCCTGTTCCCTGGGATTGGTAAGTCAGATATTCTGCTAAGAAGAGAAATAACTATGTAGGATCTGAGGTTCTCACAGCAGTAGTTACGAAGAGTACTACCTTCTGGAATATAGTCCACTGAAAGCCAACTGATGTTTTGGATGAACATATCACCTCCAAATTCAGGGTCGAAGAATAAGACAAGCAAGAAGATGGTGGCGGTATGTTCCTCCAAAACGTCAGTTGACTTTCAACAGGCTAAACAACACTGTATCCCAGAATATAGTACTCTTCTAGGGAAATATCTCATTTGCAAATTCTTAACGCTTTTACATATCATGAACACAATCTTCTTAAACATGAATTTAACAACTTCCACTTGAGTTACACATGTTCTGCTAAATAAAAACAGTAACTCATATACAAGTAAAGAAAACTGAGTATATGTTGCTGTCTTGTCACCAAAATGCACAGCAAGATCATGACATAAATATAGGAAAAAGATATTTTGAAAATGTGGCACAGTTCAGATACTTGGGGATGACGATAACAAATCAAGACCTTATTGAGGAGGCAATGAAGAGGCGATTGAACTCGGGTAATGCTTGTTACCATTCAGTCCAGAAACTTTTGTCATCTCTTCTGCTGTCAGAAAACATAAAAATTAGAATATACAAAACTGTGGTTCTGTATGAGTGTGAAACTTGGTCTCTGACATTAAGGGAGAAACACAGACTGAGGGTATTTGAGAATGGGGTGTTGAGGAGAATATTTGGACTGAAGAGAGATGAAGTGACAGGAGGTTGGAGAAAACTGCACAATGCAGAGCTTCATAACTTGTACTCTTCTCCAAGTATAATTAGAAGGATCAAATTAAGGAGGATGAGGTGCGTATGGCATGTAGCACAAACGAGGGAGATGAGGAATGCATATAGGATACTGGTGGGAAACCCAGAAGGAAAAAGACCACTGGGAAGACCAAGGCATAGGTGGGTGACCAATATTAAAATGGATCTTAGAAAAATAGGATGGGATGGTATGCATAGGGACCAGTGGAGGACTCTTGTGAACACGGTAATGAACCTTCAGGATCCATAAAATGCTGGGAAATTCTTGAGCAGAGCAGAGCAAGGAAGTAAGTAAGTACTCATATACAAGTTCTTAATATTGCTATATATCAGGAATATTATCTTCTTCAATAAGGATTTAATATCTTCCACTTTCGTCATGCATTACTTCACATTTTGCCTCAACAAGTTGCAGATGACAGAACACAGAACCTGGGCAGAAGCTCATTAAACTGACCTACTGACCAACTGGGTAATAACAGGATTAATACAACTTCAGACTTTGCTTTATGTATGCTTACAGTATTTAAACATACACGTACTTCACTTTTAAGCAAATATTACATCACTTTCTGCAGAGAGTATGGTACTAATACAAAACATAAAGTTGTCCCTGTGCTTAGCTAATTAAGCACTACACCATACAGACATATGGGGGAGTGGATATATAGAGCCATGTTTTCTTCACCTTAGGCACAAGTTGGAGGTGAGTGGTCAGCTTCATGCCCCAGCTGCTTTACCCCCAGAAACCCATTGGATAGGGGGCTGGGTTGGCCCCAGAATCGATCTGGATGATGTGGAGAAGAGAAAATTCTTGACCCTACCAGGACTCGAACTCCCACCCCTCGGCCATCCAGCCCGTAGCCAGTCACTATACCAACCGCAGTATCCCGGCTCCTTTATTGCTCTAACATATGTAACACCCCTCTAAACAGCTCAAACTATACAATACTGAATGGTAGGATGATCAGTAAATCATGATTTGGAAAGAACAAGGAAAGAATGATGGACTATCCTGCTGGATGGTTATTAGTGAATGATGAATTGGAAAGAATGTTGAAGGAAGCAGTCATGGACTAATCTGANGAGGTACTATCCTGGCATGTAATGATATTACTGCCTCACCTTTTTCTTGCAGTTTCTCTTCTGTGATGATTTCATGTTGCTTGTGTGGTTGGGCATGTGGAGGGGGGGGGGATGGTGGTGCACTTGGTGAACCTGTGCCTGCTGAGCTGCATCATGGGCAGCCTGTGTGTGGGTCTCCTGGACTTGGGCCTGTGCTTGTGCAGCTGCAGCCAACTGGGCATGTGCTGCCTGCTGCTCTGTCATCATAGTGGCCCATGGATGAGGACCCAACAGGTATGGAAGAAGTGCCATTGTTCAGACCTTCCTGCAAGACAAACACTGTTAAAGATGTAATCCATACTGGAGCAGTTTCCACACACAATCTCTCCATAATATTCATCTACTTCTGTAGTGTTCATGTAAAGCAAAACAATCTTGTAATGTTTTGTGAAGGCCTCTGAGACGTCACTGAAATCTATTCAGCAGTTCATAAGTTTAAGCATGCTGTCTGCATAGTGATTGTTAAAGATGGAAGCAATAGGTCTCTCCATAATGCTTTTACTCATCTACCACATTACATGGTATCACATTTCAGAAGAAAACAATCTTCATATCATATCCATCCAAGTAATGTCGTATCTGAGCATCCTGATATGCTATTTTATCAGTTAATATATGCACAACAGATGGTATATACAGCATCTCTTTCCTGATGCATTACTTGGTGCACAAGAAATAAAACAAAAATTCCTTACCTATTTAGTTTTATTTTTTCCTCCTTATCCGGCTGTTCCCGTATAAATTGCCGCTTCTACCGAATTCTTTGACGTTATCACATACATTTACAATAAGTTACAACCATCCACCAAAAACGCTTTGATTTGAAATATCCTCCTCACGTAAAACGATAATGGACGCAGTGGACGCTTTGATTACCAAACAAACATTAGTAACAGGCTCCGTACCCTCGGTACTCGGTACCGCTCGGTACCATCCATATCGAACTATACGTTCACTTATTCCACGGGCCATCATAACAGAAATCATGAATACCACGGAGAATACATACGACGTCTGAATGTTCGGGATCTAACCGTTCGTGTCGCTGACCACGTAACTAAAACTACGAACTGTGCAGATCTTCATTTGCTCCCATATGCTGCATGTCATTCGTGTCTTTTCTGGTCGCTGTATGAATATCTGCGAATTGAAAATATAGCAAATGAAAAGCGATAACAATTCCTGCATTCATATTGCAAAATGACTTCCTCAGGTTAGTTCACGCTGAGAGCGAGTTCACTAGCCTCCCAGGTGTCCCAGGTTGTGCCAGTTTTTAAATTATGTGTCCTGTGTCCTGTTCCGACCACAGTTTCATCAAATGGCAGCAGCAGCTGTATTGCAAGATCCTGTCTGACACTTTCTTGAGTTTTCTCCAGTAACAGGCGGAAACGTTTTAGCATTCTTTGACCTGAATCCTTTCGAAATTTGGTTGGATTCCCACCGCGGGGGATCGGCTCTTTACAATACCTCTACTTGCAGAGTAAATATAACACAAGGTAAAACCCGATACATTCGAACCCGTGACCCCAGTCGAGTTTCGAAAGACTTTTTGCGCGTCTATTGATGGCTTTCGTTCGGTTGGCGACAATGACATTGTGCATTGCGCGCAGGCACCATAATTTCTACCACTGTTTCTGTACAGAAGTGAGAAGGTGTGTGAGAGATATCGATCTTGTAATGGGCAGCAGTTATTGCCGGTAATAATAGGTCCACTACTGGTGAGAAAATGTACGGGATGATGAAGGCAGCCCTGAGATTTTCATCGTTTAAAAAGGTTACTAATTAGCTGAAACAAGCACTATACCCGGGAAATACCGTTGCCGGGCGAACGCAACAGCAGTTTTAAGGAACGCTGTGGCAATTACATTTTCACTTCATGGATCCAATCACCTCCCCATAGGGCTGGATTTCACTGAACATTGGTTGGATGAAAGAGAAATTGATTATTATAACTCTGAAAACTATTCCTTGATGTAGGAAAAATAAATTGCATGGAGGCTCATGCATTTATGTTGAAACAAATCTAGATGCAAAACCCTGTAACCTTTTTGAAAGCTTAAATCAAGAAGAACACTTTGAGGCCAGCATAACTGAACTTATACAATTTAATACTATCATAATCTGTACATACAGAACCCCTAATAGCAATATCAACATATTTATAAAAAACTTTTACACAATACTTAGTAATCTGACCAATAAAGGAAAGAACATTATTATAGCAGGAGATCTCAATGTAGATTTTCTAAAAAGAAGTGTTAATCCACAACTACAGACAGTGCTAGACTCATGGCTTGCAAGCAATAGTTGATGTCCCAACAGAAATAGGACCTAAAAGCCAAACAGCCATAGACAAAATAATACTAAACAAGGGCTTATGGGAATACAACTTTAAATTGAAATTAATATTTGTTAACAGTGAGCTGGCCAGAGACATTTTAAACAAATTAAAACAACCACATAAGACTCCGCTTTGAGTGGAACATAATCACCCGGGGCAGGTACAATAGGCCAATCATTGGACAATGTACCAAGTGGAACCAGCTAGACTCCACCCCCCAGTATGCGAATTTAAGATTTAAAAATTTGCCCAAAACATCTCTCAGGGTACATCATGCCTTGAGTAGGCAAACTTATAGAACATATGCCCTGTGTGTTCAGTGAGATCTCCCATATTAAGACAGGATGTAGTGATTTCATCATAACTAATCCCACATTTTTAACTAAAAACAGCTGCCTAATTGATCTGGTCATCAGTTATGCCAACAATTAATCCGTAAAGCACCTGATACAAAATTCCTTGGAATACATGTAGACAGTACACTGTCTTGGAAAATACATATAGAACAAACTATACCAAAATTAAGTGCAGCTTGCTATGCAATGAGATCGATGAAGCCCTTTATGCCACACGAAACACTGAAGCTGGTTTACCATGCCTACTTCTATTCTATTATGAACTATTGATTAATATTCTGGGGGAACTCTTCACATAGTGTAAAAAAATTTTAGATACAAAAGAATATAATTATAATCATTACAGGGCGTAGAAGTACAGATTCATGTAGAAATTTATTTAAGAAATTAAAAATTCTACCACTTCAATCACAGTATATACTATCGCTTCTCTTATTTGTTATGTACAACAAAAATAAATTTGAATTAAATTCCAATATCCATAACATGAATACTAGACAAAAATATAACTTCCATCTACCTTCATCAAACTTTTCACTGTATCAAAAAGGAGTCTTCTTTTCTGGCATAAAAGTGTACAATAGTCTCCCACAAAGTATCAAAAACTTGAGTAATGATACTAAACATTTTAAATCAGAGCTAAAGAAATATCTGCATGCTCATTCCTTCTACTCTGTAGACGAATACCTCAGTGTAAATAGAGAATAATGTAGAATTAAATTATATTAGTTTAAGATAAAATTACTTGTACCAGTAGGTATTATTTTGACTTGTTCTATATCCAGAGGTATTAACCTACTTAGGATCTATGGAATGCAAATAAATTCAGTTCAGTTCACATCACTATGTAACACTGCAACCCTGAGGGACAAGTAAAGACTGTTGCTGGGTTGTAATTTACAGTTGTGTAATATTTAATTTGGCTTGATCACAGTTGTGAAGGACCTGCAACACCGTGGTGCTGTATATAGATGATTACAAGGACATCCATGCAGCCTATTGCCATTGATGGACCCCCACATTAAGCAAGGAGCGTCTAGAACTCACTTTACCACCACATTCCTGTTCCCCGCTGCACAGAACTCTTAAGGAATTTCATAATTAAAGGTTTGTGACCTTTTAAGTGCTAATTAATGAGAATGTTGTTTGGAAATGTAAAATCAGAAAATAACTAACATTATGACCTTACTCCATAGAGCAGTTGTTCCTGAGATGCTGAGAAATAGTTCCTCTACTGATTAAGAAACTTCCTGCACTTTATGACGCACAGAAGTTCAGTACTATGTATAGAGTAGCCCACCACTGCTCCCTGTTCTGTCAGGACTCATTTTTTAGCATCATCATCATCATCATCTTTATTAACATCCGTAACTGTTACAAAGTAACACATGGACAAGTCATAACATGTAGTACAATCATTCGGGAATCCTTTGCCCACGGCCTAAAGGGTTCCTATGTCAACAGAGACATACTCTAATTAAAACTACAATACAGAATACAAGTACACAAATTTTGGATTATTTTAAATATAAATAAGTTAATTTCAAGTTTATTTGCCTTTATGCTTAATCGACCAACTTTAAAAATACTACTTTAAAATCAAGTTACTAAAGTAACCATCACAACCATACTCATCAAGGATAAAAACACATCATCAAATCATCATTAAGGATTTTGAGCAGAGTTTCTCTATTCATCCTGCAGTCCCTCAAAGAGAAACTCCTTCATTGTATAAAATGGATTATCAAGTAAAAATAATTTTAATTTATATTTAAAATCTTTGAATCCATTTAATTTTCTTATTTTCAAAGGCAATCTATTGTAAGCTTTAATACCCATATTTATGACACTTTTTTTAGAGGTAGATGTGCTACAGCTTAGTACATGGAAGTCCTCTTTTCTTCTAGTATTATATTCATATAAATCTGAATTTCTAGTAGTATACAGATTAAATTTCTGAAAGTAGCACAATACCTCAAAGATGTACAGAGAGGTAACAGTTAGGATCTTTAGATCTTTAAAGATTGGTCTGCATGTAGTTCTACTATTTACGCCTTTTATTAATCGAAGTATCCTTTTTTGTATTTTCAGTATTTTACTGCTTTCACACTCTCCCCCCCAAAAAATCAAACCATAACTTATTAAGGACTGAAATTTAGCAAAATAAACATTCCTGAGCGTAGAGAAACTCACTACATCTTTCAAGGATTTTATAATATAACACACCTTATTTAATTTTAGACATAAAGATTGAATATGTGAGCTCCATTTTAAGTTATTTGATATATTAACACCTAAAAATTTAAACTGTGAGGTATAACTAATTTTCATATTTTTGAAGGTGATTACTGGCTCAGACATATAGTATGATTTGTTTAATTGGAACAGCATTGCTTTGGTCTTTTCCGTATTTATAATCAAATTGTTTTTTGAAAACCACGATTCTAACTGGATCATCACCTCTCCTATCTTATCTTGGAGAATATTTATATTTTTATCTGTTACCAATATGTTAGTATCATCTGCAAAAAGGACAACTTCACCGTCAAATATATGATAGGGTAAATCATTTATATAAAGTAAAAACAACAGTGGGCCCAGGATGGAACCCTGGGGTATACCAAATTTTACATTCTTAAATGAGGAATTATACCTCTTCTTACGATATTTATTGTCATTTGAAGTTATTTCGACATACTGAGAACGTAGAGAAAGGTAGGATTTTAACCAAATTATGGCATTCCCTCTTATTCCATAATGCTCCAATTTCTCAAGAAGTATATCATGATCTATAACGTCATAAGCTTTTGAGAGATCAAAGAATATACCTACCACCCCTAACCGCCTATCCAATGCTTCCTGGACCTTTCCAATGAAGGACAGACACGCCGATGTAGTTGATTTATTTTTCTGAAACCCATGTTGATTTTCTGTTAAAATTTTGTATTTTGTAGTAAAAGATACCAGTCTAGAATACATTATTTTTTCCAATATTTTTGAAAATACAGATAAAAGCGCTATCGGTCTATAATTACTAGCTTCTTGTCTGTTCCCTTTTTTATAAACAGGCCTAACTTTTGCAATTTTTAATAAATCTGGAAAAATCCCCTGGTTTAAAGACTCATTAAAAATGAATGTAAGTGGTTTTTTTATACATTGAATACATGCTTTTAATAAAAATTCAGGGACTTCATCAACTCCAGCAGAGGCTTTACCTTTTAATTTAGTTACTACTAACACAATTTCATCTTCAGAAATGGGGAAGAGATACATGGAGTTTGGATTTCGGTCGACTAATAATTGTGGTAATCTATTATTATTTCTATTTCTAGTTTCCTCCACCAGTTCTTCAACTTTATCAATAAAATAAGAGTTTAATGTATTCGCCACCTTCTGCGGGTGTATTATTTTCTTTGAATTGTTTTGTAACCATATATCATGATTTGCCCTACCTGCATTTCCCATTTGTTTATTTATTATCTGCCACATCATCTTAGTTGGATTTGTAGCATCTCGTATTTGATTGTCATTATACCTTTTCTTAGCTTCAGAGATAACTCGTTTATAGATTCTGTGATATCTATTTATATAGTTTAATGAATCCCTTGATAGTGGTAATCTACACTTTAAACTATTTAAAAGCCTCATTTTCTGACATGAGACTCTTATTCCTCTAGATATCCATAAATTATCTTTGCGGTCACTCTTTGTTTCTAATTTCAATGGGAATGCTCTCGTAAAATAGTATAAAAACTTATTTATAAATAATGAGTATAATTCATTTACATTCCTTTCCACAGAAATTTCTTCCCATAATTCATCCTTTAACAAGTCTATGAATTTGCTTATATTTACCTTAGAAAACTTTCTTAAAAGTACTTTATCCTTTTGCTCCATTCTTCGTGTGTCTAAATTTACCCATAAGATCTGAGCATATTTTTCTTATTTTGAAATAAAAAGACTCATCACTTTATTGTCTGTATCAACCTCTAACTCTGAAAGCCAGAAGAGTGCAGTCAGAGATTAGGTCTTTGAACTCTCTGGCTTCTGCATGCTGAGACTGTTAACCATGATCCAGGGAAGGGTTATTTTCTTGACTTTGGGTTGGACTGCAGAGAAAACACCGCCTCCAACAGTTCCTCTACTATTAGTCTGCTTTCCCTGTGTCTGTTTATATGCCTCTTATCATTCCCAGGCAGTGGCCCAGTAAATACCTGCCTGTGGCAATGAATACACACGCAGTAGAATTGTTGGACACACAGTCTTTTCTGTGGTCCATGTCATATCAAAGGAAAGTAGGCATTTATTCCCAAAACTTATTGTACTATTATCCTTTTAAGCTTGGGTCTTCCAAGTGTTCTCTTTCCTTCAAGTTTTCAGGACATATATACATACCTCTTGTCCTCCATACATTACACGTCCAAACCATTTCATCTCCCTAATAAAATCTGGCAAGGAATACAAATTATGAAGCTCATTATTATGCAGTTTTCTCCAGCCTCCCATCATTTCTTCCCTCTTAGGGACAAATATTCTCAGCACCCTGTTCCCAAACACTTTTGGCCTATAACTCTTGCAACCATCATCATGGGAAGTCCCATACAAAGACGAGATTGAGTTAGATGGTGCCAGGATGAAGAGCGTGCGCATGCACATGCACACAAACACACACACACACATGAGTTACTTGTGCTGAGTACAAATCCCACAAATCTGGGGGCAGTAAGTTGCTATGAAACAATGGCATCCTTAAATGCATTCCTGTAATGCAAAAAATAAAAACATTACCAATATACATTTCATGTTTTCATGTACAAAAATCACAGTTAAAATGTAAATCCCAATTTATCATGAATCAGAAGACTTTTCTGAATGATACTGTCAAATATGCTGTTACTGCAGATAATTTAAGCAGACATGATCATTTTCAAACACTGAAACGTTTCTACCATTTAGTTTATGCCAAAATTTACTTAAGAATGAACCCATAGTAAGTTTAATTTACTTAATGACTGACTGCAAAGTCTAGAGATTGGTGATATTCGTGAGATCCTAAATCTGAAGAATGCCTACACTGAGATTTCTCAACCCCTCAAAACAGATCACAGCTACATCTTTCGTAACTGCCCTACCACCCGATGGTAATGTAACCTGCACAGGTGAAAAAGCATTGCTAATAGAAATGTAAGGGACACCAATCTCTTTATTCCTGACCACATTTAAATATGGTTGTGTTGTGCATTTAGCATTTCTGCTTTCCATTCAAAAGGGTCTAGGTTCAGTTCTTACCCTGAATATTACCTATCTTTAGGCTTTGTAATTTTCCTCAGTTCCTAGTCTTGTCACTCCAGACAAATGTTAGGATAGTACCTAGATATGCCACAGCTACTCCCTTCCACATCCTTTCCAATTTGTAATTCATTATCCTACCACTGAACGCTGTTTTCGGTTTATTTAATGATGCTGCCAGCAGCTCTGACTTGTGTCTAATGGCAGGGTGAAGAATGATTAACTGAAAAACATGTGAAAGGAAGTGGCTGTAGCCTCTTATAAAGCACCATCCTGGCATTAACCTGGATGGACTGAGAAAAAACATGGGAAAACCTGTCAAGACAGATTTGAACAAAATACTGAATACAAGTCAAGCCTCAGCCAACTTGCTTGCTCACAGTATACTGTTTGGGCTACTAACATCATTGAACAAATATTACAAAAAATAAAAATCTACTATAGATCCTACATTCATAAAGGCCATTAAAAAACAAACTCTGTGGTTAGAGACCACAAGTGAACTATATTGACAGAGTGACCGCTGCTTGTCGGCGAAGTTAGTGCCAACTTTAGTGGATAGAGTGTGTTGCACAGTCAGCACAACAAATCCCCATGGCCGTTAATTTTGGTTTTCTAGACCGGAGCACCTGTTTCCTTGACATAACTCCTGAATTATCCTCATGAGGCTGAGTGGACCCCATTCCAGACCCATCACTTCTCAGGAAATCTGGTAGCACTAGGAATTGAACCTGGACTTCTGGATCAGTAGCCAGGAACCCTGACCACTAGACCACAGAGACAGTCTACGTACATAGAGACCATTTCTTAAGCAAAAT